CAATGAACTACTCTATGGCATCATTAATTACTCATTTTAACCCGAGAAACTCTAATATATGCCCAATAGAGTCATTCAACTACCCAAATGCTTCATTATTCACTTAACAAAGAGTCACTCAACCCAAGAAACTATATTATACGCCCAATAGAGTCAATGAACTACTCTATTGCATCATTATTCACTCATTTTAACCCAAGAAACTCTAATATATGCCCAATAGAGTCATTCAACTACCCAAATGCTTCATTATTCACCTATAAAAGAGTCACTCAGCCCAAGAAACTATACTATACGCCCAATAGAGTCAATAAACTACTCTATTGCATCATTATTCACTCATTTTAACCCAAGAAACTCTAATATACGCCCAATAGAGTCATTCAACTACCCAAATGCTTCATTATTCACCTAAAATAGTCACTCATTAACAAAACAAACTCTATTACACGTCCAGTATATTTACACCTAACACCCCAATTGATTCATAGCCCTCCTAAGAGAGTCACTTATGCTTACCCGAAATCGATTTATTCGAGTGATAGCAATCGATTTACGTCGATTTCGATGCGGAACAATCAGAAAAAATGGAATTCCGGGTGTATCCGAGATTCCGTATTTATTCCGGGCGCGTAAATCCGCGGAGGGCGAGCGAAGGGCCGCATAAAAAGGGCGAGCGAGAGCGTCTCGCGTCCGTGCACGTCCGTGAAAAATATAATATAATCTCCCCAAGAAGAAGAAGAAGAAGAAGAATAGGGGGAATTGATGGGGTTCCCTTCGGGTTCCGTCGGCTAAATTATATCGCAGTATAAAACCCGGCCAGTCGATTTTCGGTATTGTTTTTGCCCTGAAAAGGAAATGTATTCCTACAGCAGGGACTATAGGGAAATATAATAATATACAATGTAAAAATTTCTAATCAAACCAATAAACATATTTTAAAATTGAAAATTGAATTTCGGTATTGTTTCCATTCGGGGAGAAGAAAAAAAAAAGGGAAAGGGAAAGGGAAAGGGCACTTGTTGCCTTTAATGTTTTCCTTTTTATATGCGTATATCAATAAAGGGTCTAAGGCTATCATTTTTCCTTTAACTGTATCTAGTCGATGTATATAGGCTCTCGAAATCGTTTCCTGATATTGCGTTACACGCCGGGAATTGGATGTGGATTTATTGTTTGTCGAGTGATTTTTTTTTCTGCTTGTCTCTTATTTTATTCAAATATTGACTCTTTTTTTTTGATAAGTAATTGATGCATAAGTGTGAAAATCGCTTGAAAAAAAAACGCTCGTTTAGTTACGTAAATTATTGTTAGATATTTAACCAACTCTTTTAGATAAGTAATTGACTCTTTTAGTTAATCAATTGACTCTTTTAAATGCATAAACGACTCTTTTAGAAAAGTAGTCGACTCTTTTAGATTATTTTACAGAAACTTTTTCGTGCATAAATTGTTAAAAACGCGCAATAATCCTGGTATATCTTTAGATGTTGCAGTAAAACAAAATATATATTCTCAAAGTCGGAGAGGTATAAGCTATGTACAAGTTAAATATTTATTAGCTCTAGCTCGAGACGTACGAAACACGTGCAATTTGTAGTTGTTCGCTTATAAGGGCACGATATTCGCGACTGGAACTCTCCTACTCGTATATTATACAGGGTGTTTCACAACTTATCCGACAAATTTTAATGCACTGTTACGAGAGAAGTTAATTTCCCCAAAAAAAAATGTAATAAAAGTCTTACAGAAATCGAGATAATAAAATAATAGTTTAACAGTTCAATTACTTATACAAGATGTTCAAAATTGTTCACAATTTTTCACATCATATTTTTTTGTTTTAACGATTGTTTTGGTGCAACATTTGCTACAGTAAAGTATTAAGGCAAAATTATGAACGCAAAATGCAGTATTTATTTTTCAATTTTTTATTGAAACTCGGGTTTATAATTTTATTTATAACATTTTTTTTGAGAAATCAACTTCTCTCTCTTTGAGAATTCTCAAAAAAAATGTAATAAAAGTCCTACAGAAATAAAATTATAAACCCGAGTTTCAATAAAAAATTGAAAAATAAATACCGCATTTTGCGTTTATAATTTTGCCTTAATACTTTACTGTAGCAAATGTTGCACCAAAACAATCGTCAAAACAAAAAAACAAACAAACACCCAAGCATGCATTTTAGTAAATGGGAACAATTTTGAACATCTTGTATAAGTAATTGAACTGTTAAACTATTATTTTATTATCTCGATTTCTGTAAGACTTTTATTACATTTTTTTGGGAAATTAACTTCTTTCATAACAGTGCATATGTGGTTAGAATTTGTCGGATAAGTTGTGAAACACCCTGTATAATATACCTTAGAAGAATTAAGTACGTCGTGACGTCACAATCGAATAATTTTAAACGGGTTGTGCGTTAATAAATCGGTTTGACGTTGTGTAAATAAATAAATATATATTAATAAGTGTTTATTTACATTTTACGGACATTTTTAACGATCTCTAAATTACGAATAATGTAAACATGTTGTCGCAGGTACACGTGTTTACATAATAACGTACAAATTGGTGTTAATCTGTAAAAGTCGCGCAAATGAATATATTAATTTCGTACTGTGTATGATATAATAAAATATACACCGTTCGGGCGATTGGTGTTTTATATGTATTAATATGCGTTTTGAATATGCATGTTTGTAAATTTGTAATTTAATGGAAACGTACAGACTAACAAACTACATTGTAACAACATCGAAAATTTCTTTTGAAACAATTTATAAATCGCTGGTGGAATATTTAGGCTAATTCTTTAGCTCGAATATTCCACCAATTTCTTTTCTCGGCATTTCGAAGTAATGTTCTCGCGTTACAGCGTCGGGTTTGCTCAGAACTGGCTCAGACTGAGTAGAGAATTTACTTAATGGATTATGTCTCGTCCACTGACAAAATATTGATTTACAATTTTTTTTTGTCCGGTACCATTTTCGGGTACTCTTTGATCGCCGACGTTTCGGCTCTAAAGAAGTGTAGTACCTATAATACCTTCTTTTTCAAATAATTTCCCTTAATTATTATTTAAGAAGAATTTGTGTAAATAGTATAGGTATTGAAGTACCTACCTACCAAAAAGTTTTACATACAGGGGTAGGCGAATAATGTCTACTTACCTAGTAGGTAATTCATTTATTTTTGTAAATGTAGCTTTAAAAACATTACTATTTAAATAGTAATTCAACATAGATAATTGTTAACCGAGATAGTACCGAGTAAATATTACCTATAATAGATGTATGTAATGTGTAATTGAATAAATATACTGCTCCACACAAAAGTTAAGGAAGTTCACAAATATTGAGATTAATTTAAAATTTGCAGGTTTTTTGATCGCCAAATTTAGTATGAGTTGTAGAGGTAGGAACAAAAAATCCACTCAGATATGAGAAAAAAACATTTAATTTCGCATACTTGAAAATTTGGTGTTCAAAATGTCTGCAACTTTTAAAATAATCGCAAAATTTGCGAACTTAATTAACTTTTGTGGAGCAGTTTATAAGAGTTATTTGTTAATTAAAAAAGCAGATATACAAAAGTAAAAATCTACCTATAAGAGAGAGTCATTTATGTATCCAATGGACCCTTCTATGTACCAAACAGACCTTTAATAAATGCCAAGAAGCCTCATTTAACTTCCACATAGATCCATTTATATGCCATATAGACCTTTCTATCTAACAAACGGACCCATTCACTTATAAAATAGACTCATTATTAAACTCGAATTAGTGACATTTAAGTACCCAATAGGCCCTTTTATACGGCAAATAGACCCTTCTATCTACCAAACACACCCATTCATATTTTCCTGTAGACCTATTTATGTGACAAACAGACCCTTCCATCTACTAAACACATTCATTCACCTATAAAATAGACCCATTTAAGTATACGAATTAGTAACATTTAGGTTCCCAATAGACCCTTATATCTACCAAACAGACCCATTTATCATCCATGTAGACCCACGTACATGCCAAACAGACCCATTTATCATCCATGTAGACCCACGTACATGCCAAACAGACCCATTTATCATCCATGTAGACCCACGTACATGCCAAACAGACCCATTTATCATCCATGTAGACCCACGTACATGCCAAACAGACCCATTTATCATCCATGTAGACCCACGTACATGCCAAACAGACCCATTTATCATCGATGTAGACCCACGTACATGCCAAACAGACCCATTTATCATCCATGTAGACCCACGTACATGCCAAACAGACCCATTTATCATCCATGTAGACCCACGTACATGCCAAACAGACCAATTTATCATCCATGTAGACCCACGTACATGCCAAACAGACCCATTTATCATCCATGTAGACCCACGTACATGCCAAACAGACCCATTTATCATTCATGTAGACCCACGTACATGCCAAACAGACCCATTATATCATCCATGTAGACCCACGTACATACCAAACAGACCCATTTATCATCCATGTAGACCCACGTACATGCCAAACAGACCCATTTATCATCCATGTAGACCCACGTACATGCCAAACAGACCCATTTATCATCCATGTAGACCCACGTACATGCCAAACAGACCCATTTATCATCCATGTAGACCCACGTACATGCCAAACAGACCCATTTATCATCCATGTAGACCCACGTACATGCCAAACAGACCCATTTATCATCCATGTAGACCCACGTACATGCCAAACAGACCCATTTATCATCCATGTAGACCCGTTTATGTGCCAAATAGACCCGTTTGTGCACGAAATAGAATCGTTTATGCAGGCCAACAGACGTATAAAATAGATTCATTTTTAAACTCGAATTAGTGACATTTTAAGTACCCAATAGGCCCTTTTATACGGCAAATAGACCCTTCTATCTACTAACTTGTAGAGTACTTGTGGAGCAGTTTAGTTATAGATAATATGCAAAGTACTTACCAAAGGTGAGTAGAAAGCGGAACTCTCGACGCCGATGCTCGGATAGGGATTCTGATCGGTGGAGGGATAGGGGGCGCCGTAGACGCCGACGCCGACGCCGACGCTGGCGTTGCGGTACTGCAACGCCGCCAGTCGCGCCGAATCGTACTGGCAGGAGCAGACGCTCTGGCCTGTTACCGGATCGGTGACGAGCGGCCGGCCGGATTCGCAGCAGGGCGTCGCGCCGCCCCCGCCGCCGCCGCCGCCGCCCGTCGACGAAGTGCCGCCGGGCGAGAGGGCGCCCGGTCCGCCCGCCGAGCCGCCGGGGCTCAGCGAACCGCCGCCCGATACCGGCGAGGAACCCGAGACGGTCGTCGGCTGTCCGGATACCAGTAGCTGGAATGTTTAAACAGAAACGGGCCGGTTAAATATAATTTTTAATAATGGGAAAATTTTGATTTTTGGTGATTTTTGGTGGAATTGGTGATAGTTTTGAATTGGTGATCGTTTTAAATTGGTGATCGTTTTGAATTGGTGATTATTTTGAATTGGTGATCATTTTGAATTGGTGATCGTTTTGAATGACAAATCGAAGTTTTAATCATCCTATTTTGTGCGTATTCGTTAATTACATTTGCTTAAATTTCGTAAAAAAATGAGTTGGTGATTTGATTTGGCGATTATTTTGAATTGGTGATAGTTTTGAATTGTGATCGTTATGAATTGGTAATCGTTTTGAATGACAAATCGAAGTTTTAATCATCCTATTTTGTCCGTATTCGTTAATTACATTTACTTAAATTTTGTAAAAAAATGAGTTGGTGATTTGATTTGGCGATTATTTTGAATTTGGTGATCATTTTGAATTGTGATCGTTATGAATTGGTAATCGTTTTGAATGACAAATCGAAGTTTTAATCATCCTATTCTGTGTATTCGTTAATTACATTTACTTAAATTTTGTAAAAAAAATTAGTTGGTGATTTGATTTGGCGATTATTTTGAATTTGGTGATCATTTTGAAGTGTGATAGTTTTGAATAGGTGATCATTTTGAATTGTGATAGTTTTGAATAGGTGATCATTTTGAATCGTGATAGTTTTGAATTGGTGATCGTTTTGAATGACAAATCGAAGTTTTTACCATACTTTTCTGTGTATTCGTTAATTACTACTTGAATTTGGTATATTTTGAACTGGTGATAATTTTGAATTGGTGACAATTTTAACGACAAATCGAAGAATCAATCATTTCTCCTATATAACTAAATTAATTAGAGCTAAATTTGTTAAAATAAATTAATTAGCTTTATGATTTAGCGATGATTTTGATTCGCATTATTTCGAATGAATCGTTGATATAATTCAAGGAATTAATCGTTCCTTTCCGGATATATTAAATTAATTAGAGCGATCGGAGTCGGCTGTGTGCGACAACATGAAAGGACCCGAAGCGTATTTACATTGGACCATTCAATCCATCGATGATATAACTAATTAGTTTCGTATGAAAACGCTGGCGAAAAGGGCGATACATTTAATAGTATATATAGAATATGCCGTGGAAGTTATTGCGAACCGGATTTCGAGTGCTCGGTAAATGTTTACCGACCTTTATACGCCGTCTTTGTCTTTGTTTGTTCGCTTCTCGTGCGCACCGACATTGACATTACAAGTCTGCATTACACTGTCGAATTGTATTATCATTGGAAATAAACCGTCTTTTAATTATACCCAGTGTTGTGTTAAGTAATTAATTACAAGTAATTGAAAAAGTAATTGAATTACTTTTATTGTAATTGAGGCGGTAATTAATTACAAGCTCCTCAATTGTAATTGAGGCGGTAATTAATTACAAGCTCCTCTATTGTAATTGAGGCGGTAATTAATTACAAGCTCCTCAATTGTAATTCATTTGTAATTCAATTACTCCTTTCGTTACAATTACAATTACATTTTACAATTACATTTCAATTACATTGGACACAAAAGTACTTATTTAATATTTTCAATACGTGAAAAGTTTAATTCCGATTGCAAATCCCTAAATAATTATTTAAAACTGACACCAAAGCAAAGTAATTGTGATTGTAATTGTAATTACATTCGCAAATTTCGTAATTGTAATTGCAATTAATTACAATTTGCCAAAAGTAATTTTGTAATTGTAATTAATTACATATTATAAAGTAATTTTAACATCACTGTCCTATTTTGTGCGTATTCGTTAATTACATTTGCTTGAATTTCGTAAAAAAATGAGTTGGTGATTTGATTTGGCGATTATTTTGAATTGGTGATAGTTTTGAATTGTGATCGTTATGAATTGGTGATCGCTTTGAATAACAAATCGAAGTTTTAATCATCCTATTTTGTGGTATAATTTATACCACATCGAATCTAATACTCGTGTGGGACACTCTGTATACAAAGGTGAACCGATAACACGAACGTGGGACATCCTGTATACTATTCGCAGTGGGGGAAGTAAGACAAAGACGGTGGTATTATCATCATCATCATCGTCATCAACGCTTCAATTCTATGTATATGCACTAAAAATAAATCGCGTCGTTGGCGTAAATCATTCTAAATTATTTCGAACGACAAATTTTATAGTGTAAAGCGTTTATTTTCGTTTTCAAAGAAGAATTTAGAATTTTTGAGGCGACGTTTATGGACGGTAAATCGTCGGGAAAATAATTTCACCCGCGAACATTTATAATGAAATCAACGCAAATAGAATTCGGATTCCTTCTGTTCGATTAAAACTATATAAGCGATTTTCTATCCGAATCGATTCCTTATCGATTCGATTATTCATCGATCGAAATGTAGTATACACAATAAAACGAATCGTTAACGTTAAAGGAAACGAGTGTTAAACGCGCGTACTAAACTCGTATTTATATATTCGAATTATCGCTATTCGTTCGCCCGCATTTGCATATTTGTTACATTAAAAAATAATTAAATTTTATACGGCGATTATACCATCATGTTAATATTGTAACGTGTGTAATATATTGTGCTGTTAATGGCCTGGAATAAACTAACAAGCCTGTTTGTTTTTATTTTTTTTTTTTTTTTAGTACCGGAGCACGCGAAACCAGATATCGAGAGTACTGGCATATTATAATCGAGTTCTGTGCGAGTAAAAGTTTTCTTCTTACTTTCCATATTTGTCAAAATTGCTTGATGTTGTAGAGGAAAAGTTGCTAAGTAACACCTTGGTTTTCGATTGAAAAGAAATTGGTGTTCTGTGGTTAATATTTTGACAAGTATCTACACTACAAGTTATGTGTTTAAGATGACAGTTGCTTATGATTATGTGTTCTGTGATTAATATTTTGACAAGTAGAGGTTAATATAATAATGACAACTATAACTTGATTTCGTTGTTTTTTTATTATAACTAATTCGAGTTGGAAAAGTAGTTATAATAATTATAATATCGATGGAATTGTAAAGAGTAACCATTAACCAACCATTTAGTTCTTCCTACGCTATTTCGATACCGTCGCTTTCGATTATTATTCGACATTCCAGAACGTTAATCGATTAGAGTGAAGTTCTTCTCGATTTATCGAGATAATTATTCATTTAAATTATACAAGTATGTTTTTGGAAAATAAATTAATTAATTTCACCAATTTCACAATGAATAGAATAAAATAGTTCATCTATACAATAAAGTAAAATTTGCTGAGAATTTGATGTAAATAAAAACCACCAGTTATACCTACTATACACACTAATTATCTTTGCAATTATTCTGTTATTTTATAATTAGTCTAAATGCATACAATTTTTTAAAGCTAATTAAAATTAATTCTAACGCCGCCGTTAACTAATTGACGAAGGCAACAATGTCTTTACGCATAGGTACAATGTATGGTGAAATAATTAGGGAATATCTTATTAGGTATTATTATTATCACTAATTTGTTATTTTTTTTAATAATTTTGCGTGTCTATACAAACATTAGCTGAGCCCTTGATAAAAATATATAAAAAGATAAGTAAGGATATGCTGAATTTAACATTTTTCATTCCCAATTTGTTCAAATAAAACCCCTATTGAACTTTGTACAATCCCAAGTTGACATTATTCATCCCTAATTTAACATTGTTCAATCCTAATTTATGTTTATTTTTCTCCATTTAACATTGTTCCGTCCTAAATGAACATTTTTTTATCCTTATAACTTAACATTGTTCGTTCCAAATATAACATTATTTGTCTCAATTTAAAATTGTTTATACTCACTTTGGTATATTTATTGCACTAATTTAAACTTGGATCAATAAACACTCCCAATTTAACATTGTTCCGTCCCAATTTGACACTACTTATCCCCAAATTAACATTGTCTAATCTCAATTTTGACATTGTTCCGACCCAATTTCATATTGTCCCAATTCAACATTGTTCAACCCCAATTTGATATTATTTATCCCAATTTATCATTGTTCATTCCCAAGTTAACATTATTTATTCCCAATTTAACATCGTCTAATCCCAATTTGACATTGTTTATCTTCAATTTGATATTATTCCGTCCCAATTTAACATTTTTCAACGCCAGTTTGACATTATTTATCCCAAATTAACATTGTTCATTCCCAATTTGACACTATTTATCCCCAAATTAACATTGTTCCGTCCCAATTTGACACTATTTATCCCCAAATTAACATTGTTCCGTCCCAATTTGACACTATTTATCCCCAAATTAACATTGTTCCGTCCCAATTTGACACTATTTATTCCCAAATTAACATTGTTCCGTCCCAATTTGACACTATTTATCCCCAAATTAACATTGTTCCGTCCCAATTTGACACTATTTATCCCCAAATTAACATTGTTCCGTCCCAATTTGACACTATTTATCCCCAAATTAACATTGTTCCGTCCCAATTTGACACTATTTATCCCCAAATTAACATTGTTCCGTCCCAATTTGACACTATTTATCCCCAAATTAACATTGCTCCGTCTCAATTTGACACTATTTATCCCCAAATTAACATTGTTCAATTCCAATTTGACACTATTTATCCCCAAATTAACATTGTTCAATTCCAATTTGACACTATTTATCCCCAAATTAACATTGTTCAATTCCAATTTGACACTATTTATCCCCAAATTAATATTGTTCAATTCCAATTTGACATTGTTCCTTTCCAATTTCATATTATAGTCCTAAATTAACATTATTTATTCCCAATTTAACATCGTCTAATCCCAATTTGACTTTATATATCCTCAATTTGATATTGTTCCGTCCCAATTTAACATGTTTCAACACCAATTCGACATTATTTATCACCAATGTAGCATTATTAATTCCCAATTTAATATTATTCAACAATTTAAACCTTGTTCAA